ATGTAGATCCCACCCCCCCCCCCCCCCCCCCCCCCCCTTAGCAAAATGTCTTCAGGGTCAGTGGAAGGGGACCGTGGTCAACCCAGCAGAACTTTCACAGACTCCCAATGACCTTTAGTGTACACCATTAAAATAGACCTGTAGGATCTACTGCTGTCTACTGGTATTTAATGCTGCATATTTTCCTCATTCTGGCTTCCTTTTAAAGAGATCCTGGAACAAGCATGAATCCAGGAAAGAGATCTGATGCTTGTTTCAGGTCAGTGACTCTCCCATTAGCATAGCCAGAAAGAGAATAGTGGTTGCACTTTTAAAGCAGCAAGGAAGGCCACACATTATAAACGCAGTCCTTATTGATGTTCATGGTCAAACTTTACTTGGCATATTTCAGATATATCAATACAGTTGTAGTTACCTGGAGAAGACCACAGTGGGTGGCCACTCTTCTATGATGATATCCTGATCTGTAGGTTGAGGTGGGTTGGCTTGAAGATGGGAGGGGATATAATATGCCACTGTGACAGCACGTGTGATTCCTGTGTTTGCTTCATCTGTGTGCACAGTTGTAAGAACTGGAATGGTCATTCCCAAATATGAGCCTAAAAATGAAGATAAAGCATTGTCATAACGTCTACCATTTTTTTTTACCTCCTTTTTTTTTTTTTTTTTTAGAAACTGAGGCCTGTACTAAGATGAGATACAGAACCTAAAATCTAATTTGTCCAATTTATTATGAGGGAAGAGCAGCACAACACTTCAGATAGTATTTGGTTTCTTGTTTTTTCTTCCAGTATCTACTGGGAAAACACCCAAACTTTGCTTGTTGCCAGGTTGGGGATGTAGTTGTTGCAAGGATACTTGAAACAAATGCTATCTACACCACACCGATCCATGAAAATTGGAGGAAGTGTTGCCTAGAACCAACCAGTCCTATCATTACTATGAGGAGTTTCTGCCTCTGTTTCTAAAAATCTACCAGTCTATCGCAAAGCGAACACGGATAGATCGCGATCGGCTCACTGACCTGTGTCCTGTCCTCCCGCCGTGCTCGTGCGGCTGAATGTGTCAGATGCCGTAGACTGGAAGGGGCGGGACAGCTCTCCAGTCTGCACATTCGGCCACACGGGCACTGCAGGAGGACAGGACGCCGGCGCACAAGAGGAGAGAGTGGAGGTAAGAAAAGACAGGAGAGAGACAGCAGAGAGGGAGAAGAGAGACAGCAGATGGAAACGGGAGAGAGCAAGTAAAGAGCGCGAGGAGAGAGTAAGGAGAGAGAGCGTGAGGAAAGAGGGCCGGTTCACACCACAAAGTCTGCGTTCCAGAGTGTTCAGCCTCTAGAACGCACTGTAACGCAAGCCGGCGGGCTCCCTGTGTTCAGGGTCGGGAGGGGGTGTGGTGGTGCATTGAAGTCAATGTCACCGCAGCCACACCGCCCGCAGTGCGATCGCCCGCACCCGGAACACAGGCACATTAGAGCCTGCGTTCCAGTCCAGTGTGATCTGCAAAAAGTGTTTGCAGTGCCATTGACTTCAGTGCATCGCCACAAGTGATTTTTCACTCATTCTCATAGTTCGAGCCGACGTGTGACAATGAAACTGTTGCACGTCGTCTCAATAGATCGTGAAGTGAGCAAACGCATACCGTCGTTCGCTCACTTCTCGATTATCTCCCTGCAGAGAACAGTGACTGTCACTCACTGCAGGAATTCCCCCCTCCCCTGACTGGCGGAATGGATGGGGGAGGGGACGAGTACAGCTGGCTCTGCCTCTAGATAGGCAGAGCCAGCTCCAGCTATCACTCACAGCTGGGCGGATCTCGACAGTAATGTTGGGATCCGTCCCGGCCGCGGAGGTCTCAGTATACCGCAAGCTGTAGCTCGCGATATACTGAGCTTTGGGTCACGGGAGGATGCTAGTTTATGTCCTCCCGTGACCCATAGAAGAACTATGGGTATAAACACTTACCCCATAGTTCTCCTTTTTAATCAACAGATTTGTCTTTCTCTTTAGCTGAGATCACTATCTGACCTCTGCTCCGGCTTTTGGTCATAACTGGCATAAGCAGGAGCCTTGGTTCTGCAGGGGATGTAAAGATATCAATTTACTTATCAATCAACCTAAAGGAGAACTATGATAGAACACTATCATATGAATGAAGCGTGCCCGCTGTCAAGTCCAGAAGAGGAGGCAACGGTTCGTTATGGTAGGAAGTGCAGCAGCGCTTGGAGGGAAGGTGGGGAGAGAGCTGCAGGGACAGCTGCTGCACCTGCGGTTTATTCATGAACGCAGTGGCTCATAACATGCACTGTCAATCACAGGGAGGAGAGACCAGTGGGGAGGATCCCAACAATATTGCCAGGATCACTACACAGGATGGCGCTTAGCCCCAGCAGCGTCGAATATGTTCAATAACAAGTTTATGGTGCGTTTTTGATTACAGCAGTGCATTACAATATGTACTCCTGTATCAGTAGAAAATGAAATCTAAAAGTGCAAAAAAACTTTAACCCCATAGTTCTCTTAAGTGTTTTCATGGGGGATTCATAGGAAGAGGGAGTTTTTGAAACCATAAGTGATTAATTGTATGAAGCATACAATATCTTACAGCGTAACTGACAGTATCGCATAAAATGCGATTCAGTGACAGTGTTGCTCCTTTTTTCCACATGTCATTTTGCAGTAGCAGGATAGTGGGAAGCTTGGGGAAGGAAGTGGGCTGAATATATAGATCTTTAAAGCAGACCTTTTACAGGCAATATGAAATAAAAAAAAAATACCATATGCATCATTATGCAGTTATCCCAATAAACACATTTAAAATGCAATTTTTTGTTTGTAAATACATTTTTTTAAGTTTAAATCCCGGTCCTGGAATCTTGCGGGCGGCCATATTTGAAGAGGGCAAATGCTTTTAGTTTTTTTTATATTGCGTCACTGCGATTAATTCCTGTGCCAGTCACGAGGCAATCCCAGTGTGCATTGCTTTGGCACTGACTTCATTTTTGCACTTTCAAAGCAGGAAGTGAATGCTCTGCAAGTACATTAAAATTACAGCATTTTGCAACTGACATGTCTGTTATCATTATACATAGAGGGATGCATTGGCAAAATTTTGATAAAGGTCTGCTTTTAATATAGGGAGCGCCTACACTCATGTTAAAGGGTTTCTAAACCTTCTGTTTTTTTTTCCCCATATATCTACTGCTAACAAGCAGTAAATGTATGCAAAAAGTGAAAGGAAAAAAAAAGCGGTTTAAACTTATCCCTGTCTCCGCCGCGCGCTCCCGTCCGAAAATCCAAAACTGCTCGGGTGGCCGCAAAACATCTTGGGGCGGGCACATTCGCAGTTCGGATTTTCGGCTGGGATACGAGAGACGCAAGGTAAGTCTATGGACGGCGTGCACCCGCATGCAGACAACGTGGGACAGGAAGTTCCAACAAGCAGAGAGTCAGCTCTGGATCGGAGACCCGCAGCAGCGCTGGAAGGTCAGATGAATAGGGCAGGAAAGATCGGATTAAGAGACCTCATTTAAGGTAAGTGCTTTAATTAACATTGGGGGAGGGAAAAAATGTTTTTACTTTAATGTCACTAAGTTATAAAATAATTCTGCAGGATCTGTTTTTTGTCTTCTCTCCCTAGTTTGTATTGCATCGAAGAGCCATCCCCCCCCCCTCTTGTGCACACAAAACCATATTATTGAGTTTTCCAGTTCCAATATGTGCAGCAGAACCAAAATAGATGTGTTGACTGTATATGGAAAGTTTTGTCCTGATAGGGATGTACGTGTGGGATCATGAGATGTCGTCTCTTACCTGTAGAATTCTGCTCACAGATGTATCTCATAAGCTTCATGAACCCCATGCAGATACTTTGTTCATATCTTTCCTCTTGCATCTTGATGCAGGCCCACTTGGCTTTTCCATATTGCCTTTTTTCATACAGTGTTTCACCACACTATGAGCAAGAACAAAAAAATGGATTTTATATATAAAAAAACAAACACCTCTTTAACGGTATCAACTACAATGTTCACGTTTTAAAGTACATTCATGAAAACATTCCTTGTGCTATGTTTTTTTTTTTTTTTTTTAAGAAAGCCCAGCATTGTCCATCGCAGGTTGCTGTGGCATAGAGAATGCCGAACTGATAACACTGCCTTCTGCCACAAAAGTTGCCGGTATGCTAGTCCTGTAATGTTTTATGAATGTCGCTTCCACCCACAGATATGTTTGCCTGAAGTCTCACCAAGTGATGGCGTAGGCCTGTGTTATTTTTGGAAAGAGTTCTGCTTTAAATACAAACTAAAAATTAAAGTGACACTAAACAGAGTTAAATCTTAAAAATACATTCATGTACCTTTAACTATTAACAAGAATGTATCTTATGTGTCTATCACTCAGCTGTAGAGCCTCAAATCATATCTGAATTGGTGCCGACACTGTCCTTCCTTCTGGAGGGGGGCTACTTTTGTTCCTCATGGTCCCTGTGTGTGTTGTAAAGTAGTCACCGCTCCAAGCTCACTCCTGTGATGGACTACAATCTTGCAATTAGTTTACTAATTTGTATTGAGATTGTAGTCCATCATAGGAGCGAGCTTGGAGCGGTGACTACTTTACAACACACAGGGACTATTACTGAAATACAAATTCATAGACTAAATGGGAGATTGTAGTCCATCGTGCAGCGAGCTTACTATTAAAAAATTTAAATAAAAAAAATAGCAGCTTTTGTTGCAGATTGGCTACAGTCAATGTTTGGCAGAAAATCTACAGACTGGCTTCTTTGACAGAAGTCGATTTTGAAAAATCAGTTTTTGTCAAATGGGAGGTTGCTGGCTGGTCAAATTTTGGTCTAGTCAACAGGCTTTGCCGAAATCCAACCACTGTATGGCCAGCTGTAGTCACAAAATTTCTACGCGCTGTCCACACAACAGGACTTCAACCGTTTTTGGCAGATCTAACAGGTATTTTTCTGTACTTGGAGGGTCTTTAAAGGGATAAAATATGGGGAAGTGTACAGGTATCGTAGTAATGTACTGCAAATGTGTTTAATTTTTTTTTTAACTAGTAAAATCTAATTAAAAATATCCATGAGGGAATTGTGTTCTAAAGAGGGACTGGTCCTTAAAATTAGAGACCAAAATCCATGTACAGCATCCATGGGGATTTGTAGATGGCCGGTTAATTGTAGTTTCTGGTTACTTGAGTCACTAACTCTCAAGCAACAACTCCCATCCCCTCCCCAAACTCATCTGCTGGCTAGATTCTGCTATTGACCATTTCAAATTGACATAGCCAATAGCAGGCTGTCTATTGCACACTCCCACTACTCGTTTTTTACATTCACCTGCCAGCTGAGGAATCTAGCCGTTGGCCGCAGCAAGATCTAAACGGAGGATTTTTTTTTTTAGCAACTAAATAAATTTAGTTGCGAACAAAATTTTTTAGCGTGCACATGTAGATCAAGCAACTGGCATAAAAATTGAGTATAATCCTCGATTTTTATTTTGTCCCTCTTTCTGGTTTTTTGAATGCCGGATAATGGAGAGTTTACTGTACTTAAAGTTTATAGAACAGCCACAGGAGCAACTTACTAAAACAATTTTTTGGTCATTTTCAGCTAATCAGCGGGCACCTAAATCCTATGAAAACTGCTGTAATCTTTTCCTGGAATATATACAATAAACAGGAAAAAACGAGAGAAAGTAGGATTTCCTTAAAGGAGAACTATAGGGTCAGTGTTTTTCACCATAGTTCTCCTAAGGTTCACGGGAGGACACAAACCAGCGTCCTCCCGCGACCCAAAGCTCAATATACCGCGAGCTACAGCTATGAACTATGAAGCTGAGGGATTTTCACTCCCCTCATAGTTCTCCTTCAAGGGAAAACTATAGATTCTTCATAAAGCCAAAACCTGCTGTTGTCTGACTCGTGGGTTGTACATGGGGAAAACAAGGCGAAGACTCAGTGAAGGATTAGACTGTGAGCAGAAAATCAGATTATCACAGATTGTAAGAGTACAGACGGACTGGACGACATGTGACTCTCACTTGCGGATTCCTGGTGTTTTTGGTAGGCTGCAGTTTAAAGCGGTATGCTCAAGGCACTATCTGCTTTAGGGCTTACTCCTACAAAAGCAAATACAGGCGTGTGGGCATACAGCAGAAAATACGTCTGTATTTGCAGTGTCTGGGAGCCCCCAGCTGTTGCATGTTTGTGTCAATAGGAATGTATGGACACAATACGCTGTAAGCGAGTAGGCACATGTAAACATAAGTACTGGCGTTTGCATGTGTATGGACATAAGTTACTGAATACAGAAGTTTTGCAAGGGGGAAACTACACCAATATGCGTGCATATCTGTACAGTGTATTGTGCCCATACAATCCTATGGACACACATATGCAACAGCTGGGGCTCCCTAGTGGGGCAAATACAGACTTAATTTCATGCCAAATAAGCCTGTTTTTGCGTATATGTGGCAATGAGCCCTTCAAGAAAACACAGTGCTTTCTGCACAAGCTCCCAGATTGGGTTTGTAAGATTCATCTCTATTTTGCTAAGAAGTATATAGCTATCTACAGGTTTGTTGTCACAGCTCATGTTATGCTAGATGGACAGGGATTCATGTTCAGGCAACATTTTGCGCTCAGAACGCATTCTCCACTAGGGTAAGCCATGTAAATCATTGGTAAGGCAGTTTCCAGCTCAGAAACTCCCAAAAAGCCCAACAAAGTGGGAGTTCACTCGGATTGGTGGGTACTGGGAGAGAGTTGGCCTATCGCACACACATTTTAATGCTTTGTTGCATCTCATGCAACCTCTTTACAACTACTTCATCTCTATGCATGCACTTCATGTGATGGCAACATGGTATTTCTCAAGGTGGGTTTCCTGACAGTGACCGCAGTGGACTGTGCCTCCGAAATCCATATCTCCCCACTTTCTGGGATGAAAAAGAGGGACACTTTAATACGAAGTATGTAGGCAATGGATGTACCTTTGCCATGCCCCCAGATCTACCATGAAAAACGTCTATTCACCAAAATTAATTAAATCTACAAGTGTTTCTTTTTATTTTTCCACCTCTACATTGCATTTGTTATTTTGAGAAGTATAGAAGGAAATCTTAGAGATTGAAGAAAAGATTAGTGCAGTACAACATTTTTGGTAATTAAATCGCATTGTAAAATTCCAATAAAATACAGAAGAACTGGAGGAACAAAAGAGGGACAGTCCTGTCCAATGTGGGACTATCGGGTGCAATGGTAACATGAGTTGAAATGACCACTTATAATCTTTTAGAAGCCTGTGATGATGGCAACACGGGTGCATTTGGGAGACGAGGATTTTGTGTTTTTTTTTTGGTGTTTCAGTGCTCACAGTCTCGGAATGTTTGCTGGAGGCTGTTGCACAGCTCATTTATACCAGCAATACTGATAATATTTGGTATCAAAGTAAAGCTGTGACTGACCCAATGGAACTAAACCAAATACAGTACTACCTAGCTGTTCCTCCTGGTACATTTTGGATGTCCTTTCCAGCATCTAAGAGTCCTGCCTGACTTCATTATAACATACAAATTCCAACACTTCTTGATGAAGAGCCCATCCACCTCCTTTGACACGTTCTGTAAGCCTGCAAGGCCACCCCTCATGGTGATGGCTCAATAGCATCATGCAAGCAGCAGTATAAAGCCAAGAATAGAATGCTGGCTTCCACCTGTGGCTTCCCACACAAGCTTTTTGGTTTTCTGACAGATTAGCTTTAATTGCATATGTTTGAATGTAAACGGTGAAACCTTGGCAAATAACGAGATCAATAGATAGTTATACCTTTTCTTTGCAACTGAGAAGCAGGAAGGGCACCCTCTGCCGTTCCTCTGTTCTGCCATTCCGTGTCAGCTGCTGAATGGGCTCTGCCATCTCTGAAATGAGAACAAGGCATGTTAGTGGACCAGTCTAAGACAGTCTTCAGCCTCTGAACAGACAGTGTTTCCCTTTTAGACATACATGGTCTAAGGAATGGGTAGGCAACCACGACACTCCAGCTATGGTAAAGCTACAAATCCCATTTAGGTGTTGACTCACAAAGGCATGGTGGTACTTGTAGATTCCCCAGAGCTGGAGTGTCAAGGTTGCCTACACTTTGGTTGGAGATTTCAAAACAATGTGACTGATGAGAACAGGGCACTGCCTTTGATGGTCTCTAACATGCTAGTTATGTCTGGCTTCAATACATAGACAGTCACAGACACCCAAACATGTTTGCAGTAAAGGTGTCCAGAATACATTATCTCTATACTTGTTCTGGGTCAGTGTCTGTCATCACTGAAGCCAAAGCCATATCAGCCAGGTAACTATCAATTTTGAAAATGGACAGTCAGCAAAAATACCTCCGTTATTCTCTCATGGTAAGAGTACCTTTTAGGACTGAAACACTTTTACAGTGTGCTGTGGTAATGGCACAAGTGTAAAGTTTGGTGGAGGGGGGATTATGGTGTGGGGTTGTTTTTTGGGGGTTGGGCTTGGCCCCTTAGTTCCAATGAAGGGAACTCTTAAGGCATCAGCACACCAAGACATTTTGGACAATTTCATGCTCCAGACTTTGTGGGATGGCCCCTTCCTGTTCCAACATGACTTTGCACCAGTGCACAAAGCAAAATCCATAAAGACATGGGTGAGCAAGTTTGGGGTGGAGGAACTTGACTGGCCTGCACAGAGTCCTGACCTCAACCCAATAGAACACCTTTGGAATGAATTAGAGCGGAGACTGTGAGCCCGGCCTTCTTGTCCAACATCAGTAACTGACCTCACAAATGCGCTTCTGGAAGAAAGGTCAAACATTCCCATAGACACACTCCTAAACCTTGTGGACAGCCTTCCACAGAAGAGTTGAAGCTGTTATAGCTACAAAGGGCGGGCCAACTCAATATTGAACCCTAGGGACTAAGACTGGGATGCAATAGCAGTTCATGTACGTGTAAAGGCAGGCGTCCCAATATAGTGTGTGTATGTATGTGTGTGAGGGGAACTCTAACAGCAAAACAGAATAAATGAAAGAAAAAAAAAAT